CTTTTGTTATGCTTTAAATTAGCCATAATACTTCTAAATGTCACTAAATACAATGTGCCCATTGAGTTCTGCCTAGGTGGTTCTGGCTCTGGTGCCTTCCAGAGCCCGCCTCCCAACTCTTCCATGGGTTGTGTTAATAGCGTCCCCTTTGACAGAAAACCTTTCTTCTTCCTCTGCCCAACAATAAGGAAGCAGAAGCAAGAGGTGAGGTTGATGCAGTGGCAGGCAGTGTAGGGTTTTGGATTTCGAGCCTCTAGTAAAGACTCTTGTGAGGATCAAATATCTGAGAGAATATATACGAAAGAGCCTATACATAGAAAATGATAATCAAATGTAAGGAGATAGTTTTTATTTTCAGTGCCTTCTCCTGAAGAGGACTTTTCTTGGCCCCAAGCTTTAAGGATATAGGAAAAAGGAGTATGGGGCAGGGGGTGGGAGGGTGGGGAGGGGTGGTATTCAAGCCTAAAAGAAGTCTCTCTTTGATTTTCTGCAACCACATACCACTGAATTTGCTGACTGGGGTTCCTGACATCTGCGTCCTGGGGCAGGAGCTGCCTGGGCCAGCCAGGAGAGAGATCTGGAGGGAGGGAAGGAAGGAGGGACAGTGGGTGGGATTCTGGCCAAGCGATGAAGTATATGAATCAGAGTTGGCTGGAACCAAGCATCAGCACTATGTTGGCCATGCAAATGACACAGCTGGATTTTCTGGCTCCAGCCCTGGGCCCTCATCCCACGCCTCTGGGCACAGAGGGCATTTCGAGAAGCCAAGCAGCTGCCTTAGTAACGGGGCTCCACTGGTCTGGGGGAATCTGAGGGTGGGCAGGTGAGTCTGAGCCACCTGCCGTAGGATTTGAAACATCCCCTCTAGACCTCCCCCTGCCCCAGCACCTAATCTCAACAGCACTGTCCAATGAGGTGCATGGTGGAGCTTCCTGAATCCAATGGGGTACACTAAAGAGAAAACCAGGATGGCGTGGAAGCCTAGGTGGGTGCGAGGAGGTCACAGTGCAGTGGGCAGGAGGCCGGGGCCGCCTTCCAGTCCTGCCTTTTCCTGGCCTGGTCACTTATTCCTCCTCCTTGGGTTCAAATTGCCTCAGGTCTTGAGCAGGACTCAGAAATCTTTTCTTGTGAAATCTCTTCAAGAGATTCTGGCGATCACACTGCTTAGACTCCATGCACTCAAGATGGTCACTACATCTCCTGACTTTGGTTTTTGGAATCTGATCCTGCCTGATCCTTTGCCTTTCTTTGAACTGTGATCATTTAATTAAGTAAACAAATATAGGAGGGAAGTGATTATCAAGGAGGAAGAAAGGGAAACCGACATTTCTTGAAGATATATTCTGTTGGGTACTTTACTAGCTTCATCTCGGTGTTTCCTATTCAGAAGACAGTCATAGACTAGTAGGCTTTTCAGCAACTTGCCTTTCCCCCTTTTTCTGACACCGAAATGCAAGAGCTACTATGCTAGGGGCCGGGGGTGGGCAGAATGGGAACTCAGCATTTCTCTTTTTGCTATTTTATTTACATTTCATTTTTTATTGAAAGTATATAAAAGAAATATCGACATGTGGTTGTAAAAGTCTGTACTGAATGATAGTACTCCTCTGGTTTACCTTTCCTCACATTTAAACACTGTCCCCTCATGCACCACCCAGACAACCACTTTCACCCATTTCTTTTGGTAGTTATCGCTATAATATAAAAATAATATGCTTACACTGCTTTTTTTGGATATATCATTGTTAGAAGTATTTATTGACGTTCGTTATGATAGTATATATTAGCTCACATTCCCTCCCTCACCTGTTGCCTCCCCATCCTCTCAATATAGTTTAATCACTATTTTTTATTTCATATCAGTAATCAGTAATATCATTACATTATAGAGACTTTATAAATATTGTTTGTGGCGGAGTCAAATAGTATATTATGATTGTGTTCTCTTTCCTGTATAGTTCTTTATTTTTCCTGGAATTATTAGTTTCTTTTTTTTTTTTTAACTTGCATAATTTTCATAACCTCTTTTTAGAAGCTCCATCGTATAATCTACCATATCACGTACATTATCAAGTCTTTGTTTCTTCTAGAGAGCTCGTTTTTAGAACCCTCCATGTCCTTCCAGTCCGGACAGCCCGCTCACCCCTAGGTCTGGTTTAGAGTGACCTCTGGCCCTTCTCTTCGCCACTTCTCTGAGCTGCAACCCCATTTTCTGGAATCTACAGCTTTTTCTATCTGAGTTTGCCTTTTTTGTTTTGCTGTCATATTTGCTTCCATAGTTCCCTAAGATAGTATGGATGAGAATTAAATTTTCTTCTTTGTTTTGTCTCTGGAAGCTTTTAAGTTCTTTGCTTTATGTTTGGTGTTCTGGAATTTTTTTTTAAAGTCTTATACATTTTTTGTTCTGGGCCGTTGGCAGGTTCTTCTAATCCAGTGACATGTCCTGTTTCGTTCTGGGACTGTTTCTTACACTGTTGATTTGATAATTTCGTCTTTTCCCTTTTCTCTCTCTCGAGTAGCACTGCTTGTCCTCACTAAGCTACTAGCTCCTCTGGGGCAGGGACAGTAGTTGGATCACTAGTACATCCCAGTGCTGAGCAGTGCCTGGCACATAGTAGGCGTTCAGTAAGAACTTCTTGAACAAATGAATGTATGAATAAATGATTGAATTCTCATGTTCAGATGCAGAAAGTGAGGTTTGGAGAGGCCAAGCCAATTATTCAAGTTTACCCAGCCGGGGTCTGCACCAAGGCCCCTCTGGCTCCCAAGCCTGGAAGTCTGGTTGGGTGATGGGTATGTCATCTCTCAAGCTGCACTCACTTTCCTACACCTGGCCTCTGGCTCAAGAGATGTTGACTTTGGCCACCCTGGGGATTAAATTTCCAGGGCCTTCTGGGGTGGCTTTAGCGTCAGCACTGATCTCCAGCTGCTCCTGCCTGGGTCTGCCAAGGCCCTGCAGCGGGGTCCTGCCAGGCAAGTGTCCATAATAAAAACGCCACACAAGCCCCAGAGGGAAGCAGGTGTGGGTCCGCCCCTTGTTCAGTACCAGGCTGCTTAGACCTGCCCCTCCTTTGACCAGCCCCCACTCAGCACTCATTTCCTCTGCCCCTAGCACCCAGAGACACTCAGACTGGGAGGGTTTTAGTGGGAGATGCAGAGCGGAAGCGCGAGGAAGGCAGCTTGTTGGTGCCCTCACTGGTGGCTCCCTTAATGAGCCAAGGTGTGAATTCCGTTTTGGCCTAATTCCGAAGATGCTGCCCTCTGGGGAGAGTCAGGGCTGAAAGTTCAGATTATTTTGCAGCTTTTAAGCAAACATCCACTCAGAAAATATGATGTCACCAAGAATGGTTTGGCTACTCTGTGGGGCTCTGGCAGCAAAGACACCCTTCTCCCATCTCCAGCTCGTCCTCCCTCGGGAGAGAGACAAGAAGAGCACTCATTTCAAAGCCAGAATGATGCTTCTGAAGGAGGCTGGCCCAGCGTCTTCTGGCTCTGTGTGTGTGTGAGTGAGACAGAGAGAGAGAGAGAGAGAGAGAGAGACCCCTAACCGAAGATATGAAACAAATCCCATGCAGGGGTTCCGCTTTTAACTGTCCCACAACTGTGACCACCGCTAATTCAGGAAGCTGTCCTGTACTCCACCCTAGCCCGGGGTCTGTAATATTGACCCTAAGGAAAACGAGAGGGCACTGACTACTATTTCTTTTTCATTACTACTATTAGTTTCAATTATACAATACATTGGTTAGACATTTATATAGTTTATGAAACGATCCCCTGACTACTATTTCTTTTGCTGTCCCAAACACCTTAGTTTTTGAGAGGCCAGCGCGGAGCGCCAGGAAGCTGTGAGGGCAGCATTAACTCTCCATGTCCATACTCCTCTTTCTCCTTCGTGTCCATACTTTCCCTCTTTCACTTCTTTTTCTGTGCTTCTATTCCTTCCTCCTTTTGAATGTTTCTCTCTCTCCCTTTTTTTCCCTTCTGCTTCTCATATCCTTCTCACCTTAAGCTGACAATATCTAACATTTATTTATCTATTATTATATGCCAGCTCCTTATTTTGCTTAAACACCTTATTTGAAGTGTAGCATTTAATAAAAATTCTTTTTTCTCCTTTAAATGTTTGACACAAGGAATTCTTGCTCATTGTAAAAATATGTATATATTGGTAAGTTTAGGTGAGCAACAAACAAAAAATGCAACAAAAAATTAAGTCACACCCTAATCACATTATTGACACTTTGGTGTATGTTCTCCCAGGTTTCTCTATAAGAATAAACCCTTCAAAATGTACTAGAGGGTTCATTGCAAGTCAGAAGTCCTCGGTTTGTAGCTGAAGCTCCACCTTGAGCCAGTCACAATCCCTCCTACTGCCAACGCCCACCCCCCCAACTCCCCCTAAGCCC